TTATCTTATATAACTTTTCTGATACTCTTAATAGCGTATGTTGAAAAAGAAACGGCATCAAAAACGGCTGGGACACTCGATGATAATTTTGGCGAGGTCAATATCTAGACCTCTTTTACTAAAAATTTATATAAAACTTGTCAGAAATTAACACTAATTATAGAAAGATTAAAAAAGAATAGAACGTTACCAGACACACAAATTTATTTCCAAAAAATATTTTTTTCTCGAACTACACCAAAAAATTTTACTCAGTACATATATTCTTAAATTGCTTCTAATGTATTTATATTTTTATGACATTATTATTTAAGCGCCCTCGAGAGGTTTTTTGAAATTTTAAACTGATTTGAATGAGGCTTTAAATAAGAAGACTAAAGAAGGAGCCAAACCAAACCGGCTGTATGACACTTTCTCATGACTTAATAATTTGATAATATTTTTATTTGAAACTCATTTTTATCGGTTTTACTTTTAAGAACCATCCCTTGCTATTGCTAATTGACGAACTCCACAATCATTGAACGAAAATATTTTAGTACGGAAACTCTAATTAATACTACCAATTCGGGTTCAGATCTTTTTATCCATCACAGAACCGGGCCTCGGTAACAATAATTAAAAAAATAATATATTGTTACGTGAAAAAGTCCTTTGATATTTTCTACCGATTCGAAATCAAACTCTTCTAAATAAGTAATGATGCTATTTGTTATTGTTCTTGCTTCTTTTCTCTTTTAAAGTTCCTATAATATTTATTACGTTTTAATAGATATTTACATTTTAATTCAATATTTTAGGGCTTTCGTCTCAAAAAATTCAGTTAAGTTGGTTTATGTTGTTTGATGTGAAATTTAAGTTACCTATACTTTTTTTTTTACTTGTGTTCATGTTAATTTTTTCATGACTGATTATTTAATAATTTGATATTATTTTCATTAAAATTCTCAATTTACTTTGAAAAACCATCGCTTGCCTTCTGATTGATAAACTGCACCACCACTGAACAAAAATTAAAACTAAGAGACGCGGTACCGAAATTCTCGGTTCCGAAAAACAGCTTCGATTCCGGAAATCCTGACTAGAACACAATGTATAAAACTTTAAAATACAAGAAATTTTTAAGCTACCCGTTTTTCGTGCCGGCTAGTGTAATTTAAATAATTCTCTTTAAAATAATTTAAATGTAATCCGTGTCTGCTTTTACTCATATGTAAATTATCTTTATAATTTCTCCGAATATTCGAGAGATATTAAAATTGGCGAAATCACAACGGCTCTAAAAGAAATTAAATTGGGAACAGTACCAAGATTTGATGGCATCCACCCAGAGTTCCTCAAACACTGTGGACCCTATACGAAGCAATGGCTGGCAAAAGTTTTCACGAACATCTTTCGCACAGGACATATTCGACTCACTCACTTAAGCGTACAAAAATCATTGCAATACTAAAACCAGGGAAAACAAGTTATAGGCCAGAGAACTACCGTCCCATCGCCCTGCTGAGTATGGTTTATAAACTGCTCGAGAGAGTGCTACTCAACAGAATCAGTCAAAGAATTTTAGACAGCATTTCCATTGAACAAGCAGGCTTTCGCCCGCATCGTAGCTGCACAGATCAAGTCTTGACAGATCACTGACAGTCTGCACAGATCACTGACAACATTTATAGAGGCCGGATTTCAAAAGAAACATGTAGTCGCTGCCGCATTTATAGACCTGACAGCAGCATATGACACCGTCTGGAGAGTTTCATAGAGTTTCATAGTTTTGCTCCCTGTTATTCCCCATTATATATAACCTGGAATGTTCTATTTGACAGCATATTGTTACTGAGGTTGGATATTCTTACACAAGGAATGACGCGAGTCAGTTTATATATTAGGCCCTGTTAATATATAAACTGACTTGCGTCATTCCTTGTGTAAGAATATCCAACCTCATTAACAATATGCTGTCAAATAGAACATTCCAGGTTATAATGGGGAATAACAGGATATAAATGAGCGATGGAGAGAGAAATGGGAAAATGAGGAAGCTCCAATATACCATGGTCTACCGTACGTTATTAATGAACCTGCAGGATTCGACCTTCTCCGTCGAACATGGACAACTCTTAACCGCATCAGAACTAACTGCGGAAGATGTGCCGACTCTCTAAATAGGTGGGGAAAAGTCTCTTCAGTCACATGCGACTGTGGAGCTGACAGGCAGACTGTCAAACATATAGTGCAGGACTGCCCAATAAGAGCATATATGGGCAATTCAGAGGATTTCCTTATGGCTACTCAGGAGGCAATTGATTATATACGACTGGATATCTGTTTATGAGACGAATTAGCCTATTTTTTTTTGTTGTGTATGTTTTTTTTTCTTTGTTTATGCAGTTTTTTATATACATTTTTTTTTGTGGTTTATACCATTCTGTCTCCTATGTACGCTATGGCTACGCTGTGGCTACGATGTAAGCCAGATGCTAAATAAATAAATAAATAAATATCTTTATAAGAAAAACACTATTTTTGATTGCTTTGACGTATCGTGTTTGGTCATACTGAGGAACAATACGCGATATGAACTATATAAATACTAATAAATGTTTAAAAACATATTTATTTATATACGATCTGATTTTTGCGGTACGTGTTTTTCATTTCAGCTTTAGTTTACTCTAAAAGAAAAATATTTGAGGACAAATTAAAGCATTTTATGGTATATTTATGATATATGATATCAGATAGACAAATAACAAAATTTTACTTTTACTTTTATTTCACTGTTAGATATTAACACTGAATGTCATTATATTACGTCTTGTAGATTTAAGGAAACTTAATAATTTAATTTTTATTAAAAGGCATCGATTCCGTCGAAGTTACTTATAATTAGTTTTTTAATTACTTGATGTAATTAATGTACATGGTGGTCGAAATTGGTCTGTTTTAACAGAGAAAACCTATTTCCTGACTAGATAGAGCAAAACCGACATAGATGTCATGGGCTCGATTTGTGAGAAACGTTTAATGGCCTAAACTGCCTTTTTGAATTTTTTACCATATGGAAAATTCACCATATCTTTTATATTTCCCGGAATAATAAAATTTTGTAAAAACTTTCTTTTTTTAAGGCACTTTTTTAAGCACAATCCAGTGGCGTAGTCAGATTTTTTCTATACTTGCTTTTTTTGGTCAGCTAAAGTAAAAAATATAATTTTTTAAATGGAAATCATAGTTGGCTATGAACTTAAAAAAATACTGGCGTTTAACCCTTTCCAACGATATAAAGTTATGTGTATTTATTTCTAGAAATGAGAGAAATATTACTTTTTTATCTTTGTATCGAAGCGGGCCTTGATTTTGTGTTGACCTAGACCTATAGTTGCCTAATTATTTTTTATCACAATTTAATATTCTATATCATTATTTATCTGCATAATTAAAGCCTTTTTAAAAGGTAAATCAACATTCTATATTAATATTACCATTTACAATAAAAAAGCCAGGGTTACAACTGGACTATTAAATGGAGAATTTAGAGAGAATTGGATTAGAACAAGGCATCCTATATCTTGGCCTGCTAGGTCCTGTGATGTAACTCCTTTCGACTTTTTTATGGGGGAAATTAAAAGGCCTTATATATAAGGGAAGAATCATTGGGACGCGAGGAGGGAATTACTGAAGGCTACTAGGCAAGCTTTTGGACTTATTACACCAGTTCACCTAATAAATTCTTGTAACTCTGTGCGCAAAAGATGTTTATTGTGTATTCATCAAGGGGGTGCCCAGTTTGAACATCTTTGATGATTTTTTTTAGAAAACTATATTCGTCACTCAAAAAATACTTTTTTAGTTTTATTATTTGTTTATTGTATCGATTATAATTGTAATTACTAATACTAATATAGAATGTTAATTTACCTTTCCTTTTCAAAAGTCTTATTAAATAATATAGAATATTAAATTGTGATCTACAATTTCCATTTAAAAAATGGCTGTACTTAAACTGCCGTTAAACGATAGCTTACTAAAATGCCGTTAATAGGTATGACGTCGTTGATGTGACGCACTTGACGGCTTTATGAAATATAGGAATTTTATAAGGACTAAGCAACGCTATCCACCCCACCAAATAACCAACTTAACCAACGCAACTAACCTCGACACTGATAAAAAAATATAAAAAAACAAATATAAATTAGTAAAAATCAACCAACCCCACCAAATAACCAACTAACCAATGAATTAACACCCTCCAAATAACCACGCTAACCAACCCGCCAAATAACTAACTCAATCCAACCAAAAAGAGTGAAACCAATGCAATAAGATCACGCTATAAGCAAAAAAAAAAATATAAAAAAGTCTTGGTCGGCGTGAGCGAATAGACCGTGGTTCAAATCACGGTGTATTCGCTTACGAAGCGATAGCCTCAGCCACTGACCCACAGGTGCTCTTGCAAAACGCTTAAGGCTAGGCATTACTTTCCGCCGACATGAACGACGTCACAATATCTATTAACGGCATTTTAGTAGGCTACCGTTTAACGGCTGTTTAAGTACGTCGTTAAAAAATTATATTTATTATTATTTCTGACAAAAAGAGCAAGCATAAAAAACTGACTACGCCACTGGATTGTGCCTAAAAAAGTGCTTGCTATAACGTTTTTACAGAATTTTATTATTCCGCAAAATAAAAAAATTACGGGCAATTTTCCAAATGGTAAAAAATTCAAAAAGACCCCGTATCTCAGGTGGTAGTGAAAATATCAACAGGCGGTTTACGCCATTAAACGTGTCTCAGAAATCGAGCCCATGACATCTACGTCGGTTTTGCTCTATCTAGTCAGCAAATAGGTTTTCTCTGTTAAAACAGACCAATTTCGACCACCCTATACATATGTAATTATATAATATTTTATATGGTCTTACTATTAGACTCTAAATATGTATACTATAAATCTTATAACAGTATTTCATCTAATTTATTTCATTTTTTTCCAGATCCTACATTTAGAGAAACCATACAAAAACCATGAGGACTGTACAAAATCAAAGTGACAATACTATTTACAAGGATGTGATTGTCATTGGTAAGAATTTATTTTACTACTAGCGTATACCAGCGACTTCGTTCGCGTCGAATTAATCATTTGTAATGGTAATGATAAAGCAAAGTAAGAATTTCCATTAACATTCAAACTGGATAAAATCTTCTCACATTTATGTCAGCATGATAAAAAACAATATGGCGATATTATTATATAACTTGGTAATATTTGAGGGAGTTTCATGTCGTTGGAATTTCACTTTCGAAAAATCCGTTTGCCAAAAATAAGCTTTTTACGTCAAGCAGTTTAAGCAGAATCGTGGTTAATCAATTACCCAACTTTTTGAAACACCCTGTATGGTTTTTTAAAAAATTTCAAAATATGTAAAAAAAAACAAATAAATTATGCTTGTCCAAGCGTTTTCCCAAAAGTCTAACCGTTTTTTAAATAACAAATATTGTAATATTTGAGGGGCGTTTTCACCCTCTTGGAATTTGAGATTCGAGAAACCCCTTCTTATCGAACTTCTACACCCCACAGTCAATCCGTTTGCCAAAAATCAGCTTTAAACGTCAAGCAGTTTAAGCAGAATCGTGTTTACTCAACGGTCATATTTTATGAAACACCCTGTATAAATTATAAAAAATCTTAAAATATGTAAAACAACAAAATAAAATATACGTGTTTAAGAGTTTTTCCGAAAAAAAAAATATTTTAATATTTGAGGGATAGTTTCACCCCCTTAGAATTAGAGTTTCGAAAAATCCCTTCTTATCGAACCTCTACACCCTAAAGTCAATCTGTTTTCCAAAAATCAGCTTTTTACGTCAAGCGCTTTAAGCAGGATCTGATTAATCAATGACCAGATTTTTCGAAACACCCTGTATACATTTTTAAAAAATCTTAAAATACAAAAAAAAAAAATATACGTGTTTAAGCGTTTTTTCGGAAACTTGACCGTTTTTTAAATAAAAAATATTGTAATATTTGAGGGGTGGTTTCACCCTCTTGGAACTGGCATTTCGAAAAATCCCTTCTTATCGAACCTCTACACCCTAGAATCAACCTGTATGCCAAAATTGAGCTTCTTACGTTGAGTGGTTTGAGCAGGGTCGTGATTAATCAGTATGTCAGTCACTTAAGGATTTTATATATTAGTATATAATATATGGAAATTGATTATGTTTATTTAGTTACCTGTTAATCTGAAGCATCTATTGAAGCAACTATTTAAAAAGAATTTTGCTAATATAATTGATTTATACAAAATTCTTTAGATTTTATTTACACTTAAGATATTTCTATATAATTTTGTTTTTATATGTCATATATGTTTTTCAAAATATATAAGTGGATTTTTTATTAAAATATTAGAAAGAAAAAATGATAAAGAAGAGAATGTTTGAGGATATGACTAGGGATGGGATTTTTCCCATATATCGATAACTAACGATAGTTATTAGTTATCAATATATGGTCACCTATCAATGTATTGATACATATATCGAAATTTATTTTTATGGGTATAATTTAATTTACCTTCTTTAAAACCTGCATATTAGTTGAACATTTCAAAATTGTTATACCGGGTGCGTCTCAAAAGTGGCTCACCCCTATAACTTTTTTATTTTTCCAGATAAAAAAACGGGATTTGGTATGTTAGTATATGACATAAATTAGGATTGATTGACATATTCAATTGTTTTTGGTCACTTCCTGTTTCACCGGAAATGACTACCTACAACTTTTGATTTTTAAATGGTACTTACCCTCGGTAATTTTTTTACTTTATTCGTTAGTTATCTTAATTAACTTTTGAAATTCTCGCTTAATAAAAAATCGTATTTTGGAATTCAATCTGGAGTGTCAAGGCTATGTTAAAAACACTAATTCTTAATCAAGGAGCCTTGGAAAAATAGATTTAATCGTCTAATGTTTTAATGTCTTGTCCTGGCCAGTTAGAAAATGCTGAAATCGTATTTTTAATCATATCTCAATTTTTTCAAATGGAACGAGGGTGGCTCATTAGCATATTTGTAAAAAGCATTTTTTTATGAATAATTTGATACCACACACTTAGTATTTCGTGTCAAATTTTCGTTACGAACCGCAAGTTATATGTAATTTCAAATAAACCACATGCGAAAATGGCAAAAGTTACATATGATATGTCATTCTATTCAGAATGTCATTTTCTATCGAATAAAGTAAAAAAATACCGAGGGTGTCATTAAAAGTCAAAAGTTGTAGTCATTTCCGGTGAAACAGGAAGTGACCAAAAACAATTGAATACGTCAATCAATCCTAATTTATGTCATATACTAACATACCAAATCTCGTTTTTCTAACTGAAAAAATAAAAAAAGTTATAGGGGTGAGCCGCTTTTGAGACGCACCCGGTCTATCCAACGACAAAATCCTTGACAGTGATAGATGTGTCTGTCATTTTAATTTCAAAGTAGTTTTTTTTTATTTTACAAAGAAATAAGTTGGTACAATTGGAACGCATAATTAATATATTTAAATTTTGAGTTACAAGTGATTACTTCAAAATATTGTGAAAAAAAACTGTATAAAACTGAAAAAATCTAATCTTGGTTAATTAACTTTAATCTTATTTTTTTCTGCTAGTACTAAAATGTATTATTTACCTATCGTATGATGTTATTTTACAGATACTCCATTTTGTGGTACCATATACAGTACGTCTGCTGGATCTGTGTCTATGAAAGGAATGCGGACAAAAAACATTTAAATAAACAGCAATATATTTTATACGTCGACTTGACGAGTACGTCACCGCAAATCGCTCCGCCCACTCATTTTATTGGCTACTTGCAAATTTGTCGAATTTTTATTGATGGGACGCGTCGTCTAATTT